TTTTCATGCCAGCTCGTACCAACGATCTAATATTTGTTAAACAATTCTTAAGCAATGAGAGTGCCAAAGTGCCATCAGGCTGCCATAAAGCTCGTAAAACTGACAAAATAACCTTGTAGTTTCTCTTGTTCTCATAACGTATTTACGTACGGATCAAATGGATCATAGCCCAAAACGACAAGATTCCGAGAACAGTTTATTTTCAGTGAAAGGTAAATTATTGACTCAGTACTTCGTATATTTCGCGCGATGATACGACCAGTTCTTTGATAAGTAAAGTAAAAATACTACCGAAAAATAATATTGTGATGTTTATTTTCATTCGTTTTGCAATTTTATGTAGGTATTTTATATATTTTATATAAAATAAAAATTAATTTTAAATCAGAAAATTTTCGTATAAAAAGTCTTATTTGGTACCTACATTCAAAATATTAATCATATGTTTAGATCTCTTTAAAAAAGTAATATATATTTAGCGAATTTAATGCTCATAATTTTTTGAAAAACCCCTCAAGTATCGTTGTAAAACACAATAACAAGAATACATTTCGGTTTTCATTGCGCCAAGTACTGATAGGGATCATACAAGTCGAAAAGGCGACAGCGGGAGAGGGATAGGGTCAAATAGGGGCGGTCTTGTTTGTGCACGTGGTGTTACAACGGGGAGAAACACGAGGCGAGGGAGAACGGCTGGACACGGGGCAGACGAACGGACAGACGAATGGACAGAAAGGGTGGTAAACGGGGTCGGTTCGCGTACGCATATAAAATATGCCGAGGCCGCGCTATCTCGCGGCCGATTGCCTGGAAAACTCACGCGAAAATATCGATCCTCGGCCACCTCGCTTGTAATCTGATTAAGCAAGACCAACGGCTCGACCTGACCATAGGTATAACGGGACGGGTGGCGCAGCGCGGTGGAGCGCGCGAGTGTGAACACCCTCTCGGTGTGTGCGAGTGAGGGTGCAATGCGCACACTTACGCAGCGTCCCGGACCCTCCGCAATGTGATGTATACGCACACCGGCCGTTTCACGCATGCAGACGTATAGGAACCATGATTCTGATGTTTGCACGCCATTTCACCCTCTTGTCTTTCCTCCCTTCGAACCCGTTCGAGTCCTGAAGGGTCGTAGGTCACGACTGACGAACGAGCCGCGCGAGTCAGTCGTTCCTAAAGCTTCATTCACGCTGTTTGTACGGTCTTTCGGTATAGGAGCGGATCGACACGAAATCGATGGAACATTGTAATTTACACGAGATAGTTGCAATATCGACACGCAATATCGTTATTAAAGAGAATCATTTTGATAGACAATTCTGATACGCATGAAATATAATAATCAACTTGATTAAGTTATTTGGTAATTATTTGTTGAATAAAATATTCATACATTTTAAAAATAAACTAAATAATGGAGAATTAATTCTTATGATAAAATTATAAAATAAAATATCAATAGTTGTTTTTTCTATTTTTGCTAATAAGCAGCTAAATTGGTATTTAAACACTTAAAAGCATTAACAACATTTTTTTATCGTTCGACAAATTTTTGTATGACATGAAGCGTTTTGTTTTATTTTTCCAATGTATATAACAAAGATTTACGAATTTATTTTTAGATTTTATTTTTTTGCTTATATTCTTCAAGTAGTAAAATAATAATTGCTAAATTATATTTTTATTAAAATATTTTGTTCAAATTAATCCATTGGTAGTCTATCATATAAATAATTTAAACAAATGAGGAGTTTGTGGGTGTCGATCCATTTTCTACCAATAAATACTATAAATAGTGAATCAATTAAACCTAACTAGCTAGCTGTCGATTGGTTTTTATCGTTTCACTTTTATTATTTTATAAGCAAGAAAACCGGAACGAGTTTCTAGAAAATAACACGATCGATATCGGCGGATGAAACATAAAGATTCTTACGTGAAATTCTTGACGAGACTCTTGGATAACATCTTTTTTATCCTTGTTGGTTTAAGATCCGCGCGTCTCTATAGAAACCCTTTGTGGCGACCGGTTCTTTGCAGCATTAGCATTATTGTCAAATAGCATTATTGTCAATACTGAATGTGAATGGTAGCCGCAGAAATAACCGCGATACAATAACTAACCGGCCGACAAAGTATAAGGTTTACAGGCCAACTGAATGCAGAAACGCAGTTTAATTTCCATTAAATTTCGGAAATTTCGTGAGCGAGCCTGTTTGCCTCGGGTACACACACCCAATTTGCAACTATAATTTCGCGCATAGTGCGCGGTTCAATTTCGCGTAGCGGCGCGCCTGCGAGTCGTTATAGAATCTATCTACTGTTTTCCACAGGTGATTTTCTACAACCCAATCGACCGTACAACCATTGGTCTTCGCCGTGCGAGCTCCGTAAGTGCTGTTGTATGTTCTTTCCACGTTCAGTAATAAAATATCTGACCCGCGAGGGCGCACAATCTTATTCAATAGTTAGATCCAATTTGAGAAATTTCACACGAAAAGCCGACTATTGGAGAACGTGAGTGCGCATACATGGGAAACGATCGCATCCTCGATTCTCTCGAACGCAAAGCTCGACAAAGTCTCGACCGGTTATACCAATATTGCCTTCTAATCCGTCAGAAATATCGTTCGTGCTCCCCACGTAGACACGTCGATATCGTATTTGTACGGGAATAAACGGGAAACAGAAACAAAAACGTCACGGGGCGGTAACAAGGAACTAACTTCGAACATCCACATCGATAAATGCTTTTGGCGCGTCGGGAAAGAGCGAGGGAAAGAAAAAGAGAGAACAAGGCAAACGGAATTATCTAACATTCGCTTAACTGGCGTCAAACGCGCTCCGAACATGTAAGAAATTCAATCGAGAACGCACGCAAATACTACAGTACGACACGCACAGTGAGCATGCTACTCCAGATTACATATTAACACTGAAATTAGGTTGTTTCTCATTGCGTACGTAACGCTTGTGCACTATAATACATGCATATAGTGTTCCTGATCTCCTTACTTTCTCTTATCTGTAGGTTTCTCGACTATGTTTTTGAAGTAGGTATAACACTAAAAAAGAACAAATAGGTATAAGAATTTATAAAAAAAATGCAGTTTATATAAAAGTTTTAGAAGACTTGAAATAAAAGTTTCAACTCTTTATTAAAAGAAAAATAGACTTTTGCGAATATATTACGCGATACTGTGAAAAATATGACGGTCGGAAGAAGAAACAACAAGAAAATAAGAAAAAAGTATTCGCATATAAAAATATTGCAGCCGGTTAGAAAGCAACAGATCATACATATTAAAAATGGGCTATATCTTGGATAAAAAAAAAAGAAAAAGAAAAAATACATAAACATAATTATTGTATTTATGATTATCGATTTAATTTTAGTTCTCTTCTTTTAACTTTCTTGTTTGTTAGCTTTTGCTTTTATTGCTACCAGACTTTACCGTAGATTTGTAGCGTACAGGGTGGCGCATATAAACTGCAACGAGATAAGATTCTACAATACATTTATACAGTAGCGCGAAGGCTGCGATTAAACGAGATATTTCTCCTAGGTTCGAAAACCCATCGGGTTGGCAATGTAGTATATGTGCCGCGAGAGATGGAATCACGACTCGATTGGTATACAGGCGAGAACTCCGGACTGTGGTTAGGTGAACGACCTACATATTCGAAACACGAGAGACTTCGATTCTTCTCCTACGGTAACTTCCGGCAGCCACGCGATACGTATGTAAAACGCAAATGCTGCCGATTCTTCTCTTTCGAGTCTTGATGCTCGATATAAAGGTGCGTCCAGACTTGTAACGTATCGTATCGCCGTAATGTTACAAATGGTAACACGCCACGGTGTCACGATCCTATTTGCGACGCGACGACATATACAGGATATTCCACGCAAAATGTCATAAAAGCCTTTTTCTCAAGAGGTATCAGGTATACAACGGTAACAAAAATTTCTTTGTTATTTCAAGATTTGTTGGACGACGGTGTTCTATAAAGAGCCGTAACAAAACTTTAAAAGGAGAATTTTGTCGCCATTCTTAACAATTTCCGAGAAAACAGCTTGTAATATTTTACGTGAACCATCCTGTATATACGCAGACCATATTCTGTCCGCCGAGCGAAGGCGGATGTTGGCTCGCTGTAAAAATAGAGAGAAAGAGAGCGAGCAAAGAAGCAGATAAAAATTTTAATTTTATAAAATATAATACGTGTTACGACGCAGCGCGCGCTGCAATTCTCGTAGATTGATCTATTATTATTAGTTATTTTGTTTATTAAAGCTAATTATGCATATTAACATTTACACAAAACGCATTGGTGTGTAAATTAAAATAAATGTCAAAGTATTCATGATGTTTAACATAGATTTCATTGATTATTTGGTAATGTTACCAGTCCACATGAAGGTAACGGGGTAGCTCGGAATAAAGTTCACGCATGCTCGCGTACCGGCGGACGTATGCCAACATAATAGTCACATTAATCGGTCATCTCCATTATCGAGTCGATTGAGTCATAAAGATTTCAATGGCCTTTCAAATTGACCGCGAGTGACCGGAACACAAGAAGAATGATAAAATGCATTAACGGTATAGGGTAGCTTATAACAAATTAATGAGCTTTCAATGCGATAATATGATCGACGGAATCACTATCGAATAAATGTCATTGTCGCGTCTCGCATATGCGTATGAAAGATCAGCTATCGTTAATAGATCAAAATTCGTTTAAAAGTAATTGGTATGATCGAAACGATACAACGTTTGATTTAAGTATGCCACAGTGTTGCATGTAAATATGATATCCGTTAGAAAACGAGAAAAAATTAGATTAATCCTATAACTTGAGAATATCGAGCAGAAGAGTAGAAATAAACGGGTACTAAACATATTATAACATATCAACATAACAATATCTATATCACGATCGTTTCATTCAGTAAAAATAAAAAGTATATTCAGATATAAATATGTTCTTACCTTTGATCGGACCAGAACCGCACCGGCACACAATTTATTTGCGATTTAGGTTTTCAGATAATAAAAACTTGAGACTCTCGAGCATCTTGACTTCTCCGAGACTTCTCCCCAGATATTCAGACGATGTAGAAACTTGGTACTTATCGGCGGAACCTGCGAACAAAAACGAGCGTTTTAGTCTGAAATATTACAAAATTTCGATTTGCAAAACTATATCGGACAATAGCAGCGTTGTATGCAATTGTGTGTAAACTTTAAAGCAATTAAAAGCTATAATAATTGATTTCCTCGATTTATTAAATCAAAATAGTCAACGAAGAAATAGATTTCGTTCCCTCTTCCTGCATGCTTCAAACCTTGTATATTGAACACGTTATATTGTTTGCGGTAAACATGCGCAACACCGCCGTGATTGGACGTCGCGCACGTATTGAATATGATATACAACGTGACCTCGTATGCGCGCAAATTGAACTAATCCTTGATAATGAACCATTATGGCGCGGGGAAACATCGCTCGGCTTCTCGCGATATCGTAGATGCAGTCGCTTGACCGCGCGATTAGTAACTTAACCAGGAATAGACGTGCATAATCCCTGAACATTTATCGTTTGTTGTGTTATGCAGCGAATCAGTTTCACAACGATGGCGCATACAATCCATGGATGATACACAGGATATCCGGCAAATTGTAATACATTCGACAAGTCGTAAAATGTCGAGGTATCTAGATAGAACTACACGGTGTCGAACGGACATATTTTATTTTTATATTCCAAATCTTTTTTTCTCCAAAGCTGTGCAAGCAATAAAGAAATTATTTTATATTTTTACTTATTTGCTTCATAAAAAGTTACATTCTAGCCGGTTATTACTAACAATTAATTGTTATTTCTTGGAGGTAAGCTATCATATAAAGTTGTTATATAATTTCAATAATAGCGTGAAATTAGGCCAAAGTATATATCGAATTAAAATATTTATCGTGTTTCCATTCCATTGTTACTCTTTTTCATTTCGCGACTGATTGTGAGTTTCGTCTTCGTCTCTTTGGTTTCGCCTCTCAGTGCGAGAGAAAATCGAAATTACAATCCAATCTAAATGATTTTAATCTCCCAAATATTTTTCGATCTCGTGGCGGTCGGTTCGCGGGAAAATCATTTTCGCGGATGGAAACACGTAAGCGTTATCGTTGCTAATTGAGTTTACTGCACAACGACCTTTCGACTGTTTTTGGATCGCGATAGCTCGGTGGCCTGTATAATTCAATATGGATATAACTGCGATGTATATCGTAAAATGAGATTGCTATTCTAAAATCGCACTTTATAATGCCTTGTACACGATCGGAGCTTTTTCCACATACATATGTAAAAGGCAAAGGGACAATGTAAAGTGCAAATAATTAGATCAAAAATTGAATTTTCTCTCCAAATTAAATTACTATTCTCGATCCTTTTATATAGGTAAATTATATTGATAGCCATACTAATGTTATTGGGGCTAATTACAGCTAACTGATAATAAACATTTTTACGATCTCATGCATTATCCAGTCAATAAAGCTTATCAAAGTAGTAATCGATCTGATTGATAATAAGAAATGTATTAACCGGTTTACAAGAAATAAAAGTCATATTTTGGTCGAATCGAGATATTATTAAAACAGAGCTTTTAACTGTTAATAATTAGCTGATAATCGCATTTTGCAGTAGTAGTGAGACTGCGAAATCAACAAAGTGAATATCTATCTAATTTGCAATCTATCACTATTGTCATCTCGTCAATTATTATCATTTTAAGTTAACATTACAACGCACTTCGGAGTTTCATAATAATTGAATTTTCCAAGTACGCATATATTTGCATTTGCAAAATCATCGGGACATACTATATGTTAGTTTTAGCTGTAGGTCATTTGCCACGATTTTACTCGCCGTGTCTGCGTTCTATATTCTATGTCGTTTTATTAAAGCAACCTATGTGTCTGCGCGTATGTAATAACGTCAGTACATGCAGCACGATTTTTTAAAATGAGATAACTGTGTAAAACATGGGTTATAAACTATCATTGAAATATCGTTTCCCCGCGTCTGTCTAAATAGCAGATAAAAATCAAAAGAGCATGCATCGTTTGATAAAAAGATGATATACGACGACAAATTCATTACTTCAATTAAGCACACACACACACACTCACACATTCAAATATAATAAGCACAATATAAATTAGTATTTCATGTGTAATACTCGAAATTTGCTTGAAATTGGCAGATAAGTGTTGTGGGTTACGATCAGTCTGTCGGTTTTCGATGCGCATTTTGTGTTGTTCTGCGACACGACGAATACGCGCGATCGATATAATCCCCGCAAATAGTTTTACGCGTAGGTGGACGCCCGGTGAGATTAACGATTACATTATGTTTTAACGATCTGGATCAATGCGGGATCGTCGAGTCGGGTAAAGCCGATCACCGCATCGCGCCGCGTGCACATCCGGCAGCACTCGCCAATCGATTTGTCAAACTAATTAGAGAGTCGCGCGCTTGCGAGAGGGAATCGCAAACTTGCGATCACGCGAACCAAAGCGCACACGTACGCCGTCAATTTGACAAGTTATCTGTCTCGTGTAGATATAGGCTTGCGCGTGCATTCGAGCGGTGTTGGCCAAAGTTTAAGTTACTTTCTCTAATAAAAGAAACTTTATTTATTTTAGAAAGAATTTTGTAGCAAATAATATAAAAGTAACTAAAATTGTAAATTTTATTTAAAAAGAACATTTATAAGAAATTTATTAACTGATCGATAAATTTTTAATTTAGATTTAAAATTGTCCTACTATATATATAAAAATATAATTGGTTTTTTATTTGTAAATAAATTAGAATTGTATTTTTGTTAGACATTTTGAGGATCAAATGATTTATTTTTGTATGTGTGCATATAATATCGATAACGTAATATCGATTTTATTGGTGTTACGTATTTTTTCTATAGATTTTTTAATGTTTGAAAAATGCTATTAATTTATGTAAAGTTCTTAAGAAAAATGACCGCCAATAATACGACTTTCGACAGCGCGTAGATAAGAATACTCCGGAGAGCAAAACAGGAATAAATGACGCATGTAAAACACACGTGCAGCATACTGGCGCTATTCTCGTTGTTCATTAGCCGTACCATCGGTTAAGTTTATTATAAATATCGTTATATAAATTTCAACGTCCATCGCAGTAAATATAGCGACAAAGAAAAATATCACAAAATGTTTCGAGTGACATTAAACGTTAAATTATCACGGTAACACACATCAAAATTGTCTATATAAAAGATGCTGCTAAAATTATTAAGGTTCTTTCACCTTATAAATATGTATTGACAATTAATTAGCCTTCTGAAGGATAATCAATCAATCAAAAAATTATTTATTATTATTTGCCACTTTTCTGACATTTGATTATAATATATTTTAATAGGGCCGTTTATTTATGCATCTAGCGGTTGGGAAGGTAAACTCTGAAGTATTCTATATTTGCTTGCCGGAAATCGATAGAATATAAAATGAAACTATACACGTAATCATATTGGAATGCGATATAACGCAATTAATGTATGATTAAATGAATCGGCGACGGTTGACTGTAAATAAATTAATTTAAATTACATGTAAAAGCTATTTTCTCGTAAACAAATATAAACAAATGTAATCGACAAAATGGTAAGAGTACGAAATAAAATAAACAAAGGCGCAAAATAAAACAAAACCAATGATGTAATAATAAGGTTCCGGTTTATGTTTTTAATCATATCCCTACTGTGTCTTCTCCGATCAACAATAAAATTCTCTCTTGTCATTAAATATTACTCCGTTGGATCAACCTCGACGCGGAGCGGAATTACCCGTCGAAATAGCCGGTAACGCATTGAAATACCACTACCGATCATTCTTCTTTTATTTCTCGGCTCACAGTTTCGAGATCTTTAGAGGCGGAGTCACGATCCGCATTTTCCCGCGTTTTGGGCCGATCGGGAAATTCCGTAAAAACGAACGAGAGAAAGGGCAGCATGTGAGGTTGGACGCCGACTGTTACCCACGAATCAGGGGTAGAGAGGATGGCGAATTCGTAACTTTCGGAGTGGGGGCGAGGGGAAACAATTTTCAGGAAAGCCGCGGCCGATGGGGAGAGCGAGAACCATCGAGAACCACTGGCGTGCACCCAGTTGGGGAATCCAATTTGGATTATCGAAAATTCATAGTACTCGGAGCACAGGCGTGCGTGTACGTGCGTGCGTGTGTTCGCATACGCGTGGCGTTGTCCGGTGAAAGACAGGCGGCGAATGAACGAGTAACCGCGTTGTCTTTGTGACTGCAGGGAGCACAGAGATTATTCAAAGAGCTTGTTTTGCGAAAAGATGACTCCAATTTTTCTTATTTCCTCTTTTTACAAACAGAATTAAGAGAGAAGAAGAAAGAGGTACATTGAGGGATAACAAAATAAAAAGCAAAATAGAATGAAAAATTTGTATCGCAACGACAATACCGCCATTACCGTGTTGACACCATTTTGATCTCTTGTGTAAAAAAACCAGTAAATCTATAATAGATAAATTAGTTAAAAATACAACCTCTGAGACGAGCAATGTAGTTCAATTTTTGAATGTAATAATGAGACAAAATAATAAAAAAAACGATAAAATAACGAAATAACTTGGCAGACTCTTGTCTGAGCATACTGAGAATTTATCCAGTTTGCTCGTGATGGAGAACGGTACTGGCGACACTAGTTCCACCGTAGAGACACATGGATAATATAAAGCGTCGCGTCCGCAACTTCCGGCGACAGCAAAGTGTAGCTCTACGTTCGCACTGTATCATTCTCGTTAATCTTCTCTATCTTTCTCGCGATTCTTTCCGTATCCTCTCATCTTCTCACTCGCTTGTTTATTTAGCCGTTCTGCTTTCTTTCCGCGCACCATTATATTCCATCGCGGTTATTCGCGTTTTTCCCACAAGTTGTCACAGTAATTTCACGATCAAAATCCGAAGAACAGAGATAAAAAAGCTACAAACAGAACGTGTGAACGAAAAGTTATAGAAAATAATAAAACTCTATTTGATATTAATTTTTTTGTGATATTAACGTTTTAACAGA